TAAAATAAAAAATGGGGCACAGGCTACTGAATAGTCTGTGGGTAATGCCTATCATATGTGCTTGGGGAAAGGTGTGTGTGTCTGAAACCTCAGCAGTTTTGAACTAACTTTTTTTTTAAATAACAAAACAAACTTTTTGCCCTGGGATCTCTCTCCCTCCTGATCCTGACATGGCCAGGAGCCTGACAACTTGTATTATGCAAAACTGGCCTCTCTGGGCAGTTTTTCTTTAACCTGTATCCTCTTGCATTACACCAAGATTGTTAAGCAGTGGGTACTGGACACTCTTTGACTTCTTGCTAATGCATTGCCAGTTACACTCAGGATAGTGGGGTCATTATGGAAGCCTGCTTTCATATTGAATAGAGAAATTAGGTTTCTTCTTTACTAGAATCTGAATGAAGATGTGCAAGGCCCTATCTCCTGGCTTATGGTTAGAACTATCTGGAGATACCAGAAAGAACTTTTCATTGTAAAATTAGTAACCATTTACTGACTATTCCTTATGTGCCAGACATTGGACCACCATCTCGTATCATGCTTATATCAGCTTTATAAGCTTACAGTATAGGTAGTGTTATCCCCATTTTACAGATAAGAAAACTGAGGCTCAAAGAGATTAAGTAATGTGTATAAGTTTACAGAGCTCACTAGTGGTTGATATGGAACCAAAATTTATGTCTCTCTGACCTTAAAGCCTATGTCAGGCCCTTCTCTAGAGACCTCAGGAGGGGTTTAGGTCCCTACCCCACTCCCAGTTTGTTCTTCCCTCACCTGAGGCAGAGTATTTCAAGTCAAAGAAGAGGGTATATGATCTTTGAAACTGAGGCCATTTGTGTCTTCCACTTAAATCCAGAAGATGTTCCTTTGTGGTGAAGAATTATTTATACACATAGGTTCTTTGGCTTAGTTTGAAATAGGTGAGTACTTCCTGGGCTGTGAAGACAGTTCCTCTTGAGTCCCCAGAGCTGTCCAGGTAGCTGTGTAGCCAGTGGGATGATAATGTTTTTATCAGTTGTATGTTACTTTCAGGAATCAAAACGTTTATTCCCATGTCCTTTTAGGAAGGTGACTTCAAATTCCATTTTATAGGGATGCCTGAGTGGCTGAGTCGGTTGAGTGTCTGCCTTCAGCTCAGGTCATGATCCCGGAGTCCCGGGATCAAGTCCTGTATCAGGCTCCCTGCTCAGCCTGCTTCTCCTTCTGCCCCTCTCCCCACTCATGCTCTCTCTTTCTCTCTCAAATAAATAAATAAAAATCTAAAAAAGAAAATCCATTTTATAGAGAGAGACAGGCTGGGGCTCAAAGAGGTTAGGTAAATTGTCTGAGATCCGTAGTAAGAGTGGTATGTGCTATGGTGAGCACTGTGAATTTGTAAGACTGATGAATCACAGACCTGTATCCACATACATTATATGTTAATAAAAAAAGAGTGGGATTCCCAATTAAGTTCTCTCTCTTTTTTTTTTTAAGGTTTTATTTATTTATCTGAGAGAGAGAATGGGAGACAGAGAGCATGAGAGGGGGAGGGTCAGAGGGAGAAGCAGACTCCCCGCTGAGCAGGGAGCCTGACGTGGGACTCGATCCCAGGACTCCAGGATCATGACCTGAGCCGAAGGCAGTCGCTTAACCAACTGAGCCACCCAGGTGCCCCTAAGTTCTCTTTCTTAATATTAGGTCCTTTGCCAGGATCCAGGCTTCTGTCTACTGAGGGCCATATGTGGGGGTGTGAGGACTCCTCAGAGAGCCTATGGCTTGTTGATGTTTTTCTGCTTTTGGAGCTGCCTTGAGCTGAGGTGGTTCTAGGAAGCCCATAAGCCCAACAACCTGATGACAGAAGGTGGGCTTGCACTGGGGAGATAGAAGCCAGAGACTGCAAATTGTGGTAAAACCTAAGATACAGGCACTCTGGGAGATTGCCTTCTGCCTGAGTACTGCCCTTTGCCATGTCCCAGGCCAGTGTGGAATGTGAAGCCCAAATGGGTTATGTTCCTAGAGTCTGAAGCTACAGAAAGCAAAGTCCTAGAATAGGAAGGTAGCCCTACTGCTCCAGAGTCCCAAGTGGGCTAGGGCCCAGACCTGAACTTAGAATATCTTGTTCTCCTGGGAATTTAAGAGAGGTGAGTAGGGTGGGAGATGGAAGAGGCTGAGTGAACTGAAGGGCAGCTTACCTGTGGGGGAAAAAAGAAGAAAGGAAGTAAGACCTGGATAAGAGGAGAGCTGAGATCATGCACTAAGTCCAGCCAGGCCTCTGGTTTCCTTCCAAGGAACTGATAGCTCAAGGACCTTCTCTGCTTTCACCTCCCTTAAAGAAACTGAACTAAATTCTTCTTCTTCTTCTTTTTTTTTTTTAAAGATTTTATTTATTTATTTGACAGAGAGAGACACAGCGAGAGAGGGAACACAAGCAGGGGGAGTGGGAGAGGGAGAAGCAGGCTTCCTGCCGAGCAGGGAGTCCAATGCGGGGCTCCATCCCAGGACCCTGGGATCATGACCTGAGCCGAAAGCAGACGCTTAACAACTGAGCCACCCAGGCGCCCCTGAACTAAATTCTTCTGACAAAAGCCAAATTTGTTGGGAAATGAAAAATCCCTGTTCTGAGTGAGATCTTAGACCTTCCACTTGGCCGTGGCAAGAGGAGAAAGCCCAGGTGATCGGGGCAGCATGGCCTGAGGCCTGAGGCTCTCAGGATGTAGCGTCTCTCCTTTTTTTTTTTTAAAGATTCCACCCATTTATTTGATAAGAGAGACACAGCGAAAGAGGGAACACAAGCAGGGGGAGTGGGAGAGGGAGAAGCAGGCTTCCCGCTGAGCAGGGAGCCCGATGCGGGGGCTCAATCCCAGGACTCCGGGACCATGACCTGAGCCAAAGGCAGATGCGTAACGACTGAGCCACCCAGGCGCCCCAGGATGTAGCATCTCTTGACATGCTGCACCTTCTTCTCAGAATTGGCTTTAGCATGGTATTTGTCTTAACCTGATATCCCTTAGGGAAGACTGAGCCCAGGATGCTGGGTCATAGGCATTGCTGAGGCTGCCCAGAGTTCAGGGTTAGGGAATGCATGTATTATTCTGTTCTGTCTGGTTCCTAGGGGCCGGTTCCATCTTGGAGGAATTTTGCTTTTTTCAGGGTTTGAGACATTCACTTCTGGGCCAAGACCTTGGCTATAGATATTTCAGCTGCAAGCACAGCCCACATGCATGAAAGGGCTGGATTACTTTGTGGGTGACTGCCATTGCTGAGTACTGGTCCTCCTGCTGACAGAGCTGACAAATGGAATTAGAAGCAAAGGAGCCAGCCGATAATAGGGTCCGTGGGACATAGGCAGAGGGACCTTCAGGAGCTGAGTGTCTGGAGGAAAGGAGACTGAGCGTGGAGCCTAGGCCAGATCTTTGCCCTAGCTGTCCCTTCCCCCGCCAAACTTGAGGACACAGCCCTCCCTGTGTTCACCATCATTACTCTCCCCTCAGAAATTCTTGGCAGGCAGAAGTGTTTGCTACCAAGAGAAGTATGTCCTGGCACAAGACTGAATTGGTGAGAACAGCCTAGAGGTACTTTGTGCCCCTCAGGAGGCCATCTTCAAACCCTCTGACCAGTCCTGACTCTAGCTTATTCTCTTCACCCCTACCTTCTGTTAGAATTAAGCCTCACAATGGGACTCCTGAGTGGCTCAGTCGGTTGAGTGTCTGCCTTCTGCTCAGGTCATGATCCCAGGGTCTTGGGATCGAGTCCTGCATTGGGCTCCCTGCTCAGCGGGAAGCCTGCTTCTCCTTCTGCCTGCCACTCCCCCTGCTCGTGCTCTCTCTCTCTCTCTCTCTCCCTCTGGCAAATAAATAAATAAAATCTTTAAAAAAAAAAAAGAATTAAGCCTCACTCATTCCTCCCAAGTTCCTTACTGAGCTGGGAGCTCTCCATGACGTCATAGACTTCGCTCCCTAGTCAGATCCAGTTACAAAATAGCTAGCGCCCAGATTACCACAGTGAACAGTCTTTCCCTCTCCTGGTCTCTCCTTTCTGCCCAGCTCACTTCTATATTGATGTAGTGCCTTTCCCCCTAAGTGTCCTTGCCTTTAATTCATGGTCTTAACAACTGAAGTCACATCAGAACTTCCTTTTGGAACCACAGAGATCCAAGGTTCCTGGAGTCAGTGGAGGTCTGAATCCACCCCCCATAGAAAGTTAGAGAAAGGGGAGAGACCCCTCATCAGAACAAAAGATGCAGTCAGCTCTAGCTTAGTCAAGAAAGTGTCCCCGACATCCCAAGGCTGGAAGGCCCAAAAGTTCGATCCAGGCAATGGATGGGAAGACTGAGTTGGCATGGAGAGATGAAAACAAGTGGCAGATGGTGCTGAGGAACATCCCGGGACTGAAGAAATGTGGTTCCCAGAAAGGGAAAAAGGAGACATTGGCAAAGTCTTACTCAGCAACTGTGACAACCTGGCCAAAGAAAGCTGCAAGATATGGCTGAGAACACATTTATGGTATCAGGATGCTGCTGAGCTCAGACACTCACTGTTCTGTCACTTCTTCTTGTGCTCTTTTACCATAGCCAGAGTAAACAGCCTTGGTGGCCAGGAGGGATGGGTCAGGAAAAGCCAGGAAGAGAAGAGATTAGAAAATGGTCCCAGAGGGCGCCTGGGTGGCTCAGTTGGTTAAACCTCTGCCTTTGGCTCAGGTCATGATCCCAGGGTCCTGGGATCGAGCCCTACATCGGGCTCCCTGCTCAGAGGGAAGCCTGCTTCTCCCTCTCCCTCTGCTGTTCCCCCTGCTTGTGTGCTTGCTCGCTCTCTCTGTCAAATAAATAAATAAAATCTTCTTTAAAAAAATGGTCCCAGAAACTTGAGGAATTGCTGAGGCCAGACTTTTTTCTGGGTGATAAGTAGTGAGCATAGTCTGTGGAGGGACTGAATCCAACCCCCAAGGGCAGCATGAGGGGCGTGGGGCCCGAGTGACATAGGCTTTGAATGGCCTAAGTCCTGCCTGGCCCTTGACCTCCCCAGGTGCTCGAGGTAGTACGGGCCAACTATGACACGCTCACACTGAAGCTGCAGGATGGCCTGGATCAGCATGAACGCTACTCAGAGCAGCACAAGGAAGCTGCCTTCTTCAAAGAGCTGGTGAGTCTGCCCTGCCTCCATCTCTGCCTATGTCTCTTGAGGGCCCTTTCCCAGCCAGTGGGTTATACCGTGCAGCTGGGCATCTAGGGAACAACCACAGTTTGCCAAAGGCTGATGAAGTAAGACTTGAGGGGTCTGCTGAGATTGCGTGTGGAACTTCTCTTCCAAAGCAGCCCAGGACCAGGCAGTGAGAGAAGATACTCCCCAGGGTACTGGTGCCAGGGGGGCAAGGGTGAGGGTTAGGGTTCTCTGAGGCAGCATTGCCCGTCTATCTCTCTTCTGCAGCCACGGAGACAGCCCTTGAACAGCTCCAGCTGGGCCTGGGGTTGGATGTGTGTTCGCAATGGCAGCTCTGGCTCATTACTCCTTATCCTGTCCTCCAAGCAACTAATGAGAATCATTGATTCTTCTCCTCCTTATGCAACACTTCTTCCTAAATTCCTAACCGGCTTCTGGTCTGAGTGCCCTCCCAGTCTAGTTCTCCAGTCTTCACTCCCCATCCCCACCCCCCTTTCCAATCACTCAGCTGCCTGCAGCCCCCACCTGTGGCCACCTGGAGCCAGTGAGCATTTGCTCTGCCTCCTCCTCCACCCCCAGTCAACACTGCCACAGAACCCGGCTCTCCCTGTTGATGGTCTCTGTCGTGCCCTGTGCTCAGAGCTGCTCTCGGGAAAAGCTAGACCTGCCTGTCTCAGTCCTGCCACTCCACCCGCCTGGTTGTAAATGAACATTGTGGCTGGGGGCTGAGACCAGGACACGCCACACCTCTTTCCCATAGCTCAGCCCTCCTGCTGCTGGGGTAGAACGCGCCTCCTCCCCCTGCCGTGTTCGTGATGAAGGTGCGGGGTTGTAGATTATCTGTCTTGTACTAAACACAGTCCAGCTCTGACCCTGATGTGAGATGCCTGAGATTTTGGACTTGCCCAGGGTGAGGAAGATCTGCTCTGCAAGTGAGTGAGTTGGGAACAGGGGGAAGCCATTTATATAAAGAGAGCAGATTCGAGCATCTTTATGGGGTGCATGGCAAGTCTGAAGTTGATGTGGGGGTTTTACTAGGGGTGCAGATTTCACAAAGAGAGTAGGACATTGGAGATGAAAAGACTGTGGAGGAGAGAGTTAGGGGAGCTCTGTCTCAGGCCCTTTGGTACTAGGCACGCCTGACTCAGTTCTCCTTATAGCTATACCTCTGACACAGGGGAGCAAAGAGGGTCTGGTCTGACTTGGAGCTAATGGCCTTGAGCTGCCTGCTGGTTGCCATGCTGCCCTTTCCTCTGCCTCCTGCCTAATGACTTCATTACATTTCCCACAGCTAAGCAGAAATTGGAGGAAAGCTCCCTGGTCTTTGAGGCCCAGGGTAGATACGCATGCTTTTTCTCCTTTTTCCCCCACTTTGTCTCTCATGCACCATTCACTTCTGTTTCCCATGAACGATGCTCCTTCAAGAGTGCGATAGATTTCTCCTAGAACCCACTCAGAGAAGTCTGGCCCTTTGACTCCTTCTCCACAGGTCCTTTCCCCCACTGATATGGGCACCCTTCCTGCAAGGGTCTCAGTCTATGGGAAGAAAGCACGTGAGGGGAGCAGTGGGCACACACAGGGATATGCCCCAGTCATTTCTCTAAAGCAGGGGGGCTTCTTTGTGGTATGGAAAGAGTGCTGGACTGGGAGTTAAACCTGGGTCCTGCTTCCAAGCCTGGGGCTCACAAGCTGTATGACCCGCTTCCGGTCATTGGCCTCCTTGGATCGTACTCCTGCCATCTATGCCAGACAGGGGCTGCATCTCTAGGTGTTCTTTCCAACCCAGGAAAGTAGATAAACAGAGTGAGAAGATCAGAAATGCATTCTCTGGCATCATTTTCTCCTCCTCTGTCAGACCACTGACCAGACCAGTCCCCCTCTGCATGGCCAAGGCAAAGACAAAGGCCTGAGCTCACCCTCCTTCCCTGTCTGTGCTTACCTCTACTTCTTCAGGTCAGATGCTCTTCTCACATCCACTAAAGTTTCTATCTCTCAGCCCCTCTTCTTTCCTTCCACTTATACGTAACTGTTTGCTGATTTACCTGCAGAAATGATAGCTGTTAAGGTTCATCTCCTAAGAGAGAAACATGTAGCACTGCATCTTGGCTTTGTCCCTCAGGCGCTGCCCTCTGTTGTGTGTAACCAACTCTCTCCTCTGTTATCTCTCTGCCTATGCCCTCTCACCTTCCCCAACCTTTTCCCAGGTTCGATCCATTAGCACCAACGTCCGGAGAAACCTGGCCTTCCACACACTCAGCCAGGAAGTCCTGCTCAAGGAGTTCTCCACTATCTCCTGAGGCCACGCATATCTGAGCAGCTGCTGACTGCCCTTACCCATGAGGCTCCTGGGCTGCAGGGGGACTGAGGGGAGAGGGGCTGTCCCCAAGGTTGGAGAATAACACAGATACCGAGTTCTCTCGGTGAAGGCCGTGCTTCAGTGGAGCTTGGACAGCAGGGCCAGGAGGGGCAAACCAGGGATAATCTTATTTGGGGAGGGTTTGGGTGGGCACAGGGAGAAGCCTTCAAGAATATGGGGACTTCCAGCATGGGCTCCCTGGATACCCCCTCACATTTCCAATTGAGATTACAAATTGTGGCTGCTGACTAATTTTCAGGGGCTGTTGGGGGAAGTCTTAGAATGATACCAACATCCTGAGAGTCAGTGGTTCTCCAAGGCTTCTGAAAACAGACTCTCAAATGTAGATGGAGCCAGTTCTGCTTTCTTTGGGCCTGGGGCTGAGCTGGGCTTGAAATCTGTGTCCCCTTCCCCTGCAGGCACTCTGTTAGGACCCTTAGCTCAGCTCAAGGTAGGGTAGGAATGGAGGACCTTTTTTCTACTTTCTAAATCTGGGAGACTGGAGATTAGAATCTGCCCAATGCCCTGCTGTCCGGCCACCAATTTCTGGATTTGATTCTTGGCACCAGGAGTACCTGTTAGCTTCCCCTGCCTTCCAACCCATTGATTGGTCAGCACTATAGGGTCACAACGTTAGCTTCTAATTTTCAGTCTGGTTTAAACTGTCTTTAGGGTGTGTGTGTGAAATAAACATTGACAGGTTTTCTGGAGCCCTCAGGTGCCTACTTTGCTGGTTCCCTTTCCAGCAGCCTCCCCACCTTCCCAATCACCTTCTCCTCTGGGAGCCTCTCCTGCCTCTGCTGAGCTCCCCTCCACTGTTCCGCCCCCTCACCCGGCTGTTGTTTACAGCCAGCCTGCCTAAGAATTTCCTCTGGGGAGGAATCTGTTCCTGCTGGGGTCTGGTGCCTGGAAGGGAGAGAACCTGCTGGGGGCAGGGTGCCCTCCATCTGAAAGGGGCCAGGTGAGCATCATGGAGAGGCCATTCTGTCTGCCCATATTCAGGGTGGGGTCACAGGCGAGTCTTCTGGCCTTTGGGAAGTTGGCCCATGATTCCTCCTCTGGACAGCCTCCATTGGACTACTGTAGGCTTTCCCTACCCCTTGGCTGCTTTCAGAGTAGCTGCTCTGAGATTCCCCCCTTCTAAAGCACTTTCTAAAGCCCTTAGGCTGGCAGGGAACAAGCAGCACAAGAAGACTCTGGGAGTAAGTGCAGGAAACCAGCAGTGAGAGCAGGTCTGGGACCTCCCTGACTGCTATTCCTACTTAGCCTCAAAGCGCTTTAGGGTACTTGCCTTCCCTGGGAACCGGAGTTGTGGCTCCAACATGGAGCAGATACGCACGAGTTCCAGAGAACCCACCAGCCCGCGGCCGTACATAGACGCAGATTTCTGAGAGATCAGGGGCTGAGTCATCTGATCGCTAGATGGCGTAGCTCAGCCTGGGGCATGTAGTGTTCTCCACAGTTATAAACCCCGGAGGAGCTGGAGCTGGAAGCTGGTGGCAAGTTGAAGTTATTAAAAATTGATTTGTATGGTACGGTCTTTTTAGTGTCTTTTGTTCGTTTGCTTTTCTTCATCTCTGTTACTCTGACCTCATTTCTCAAAGACAGAGTTAAGGTAATCTCCCAGGTGCTGGTCCCGTCTGCCTGGGGGACCCCTGCCTACCCTCACTCTCCTCCTAAGTCTCCTGGCCCTAGTGGAAGCCAGTTAGGCTCAGAGAGGTATAGCCTCCCTTGCCTTTGCTGCTTATGGTCTCCTTTCCTATGAAATGAACAAGGACATGAAGCAGAGGCAAAGGACTCCTTGCCCTCCATTGTAAAAGTCCATCTCTTGGCCCATTTACATATATCTGTTCTAAGAACTCTGAACAGGAACCCCATCATCATCTAGAATTCACCCCCTAAAGGGGCTGCCCATGCTCTGTCCATGCCCCAATGTCTATGCCAGGTCTGTGGAGAACCCTCCAGAGCCAGGGGAGAGCCAGGAGCAGGGCATTGCTCCCAGAGAGAATCCTTTTAGCTGCTTGTCCCCGTCTCATGCCTGAACTCCTACCACAATTCCTGCTGAGTTAATTGAATCAAGTGCTTGGAAATTAAATCCAATTGAAGACATTAAATGTGCTGGGGTCACTTTAGCTGAAGCTTTCAGTCTCAGCAGGTCACTCCTCCAGAGGAGCAGTTGGGCAGGCAAGAGGATCACATGGGACATTGCCACCACATCATCCAGACCCACCAGACACTGTTCCCCGCCCCCCCCCCCCCCCGCCTTCCTTCTGGCGGGTTGGGGGCTCTTGTTCTAGTAGTCCAGTGAAGAGCCTGGGGAAGGTCAGACAAGTAGGCTCAGTCACTCAATAGCCATTCCTGGGAGAGCTGGAGGCAGCCCAGCTCAGTGATAGCCCTTGGCTTCAGAAAAGGAGCTAATCCAGGGGAAGGGGGCCTCATAACAAAAGCATTTCTTACCACTCTGTATCCTCACCTGGATCCCCCACACCATTCAGTGACTCCCCAAATCTTCTGGAAAACAGAAGGAATCTAGGACAGGGCAGGTCACAAGAGAGAAGGGCAGGAAAGTTGAAAGGGAAAAAGGAACAAAAGAATGAAGTCTTGAAAAACACCTGGTTCACTCTTTTCCTTTTCTTCCTGGTGGGCCAATGGGGGTCATTAGATCAGGGAAGAAGGTACCATCAGAGTGAATGTAGCCCAGAGACGGATCTTGCAGTGGCTGAGAGTTGGAGTCTTTCTGAGAGAAGAGAAAACTGTAGTCCACTGGCCTGAGATGAGCCTGTTAGAGGCTGGGCTGATCGTTGCTCTGCATCCCTAACCCCCTCCTAGCAGGGTGGGCACTGGCGGGGAGCCACAGAGACCCGTACATGGGAGGAGAACAATAGAGAAGATAGGGGTTGACATGGAGACTGACCTGAACAGGACACACAGACTTACCCTGGCTGGTGCTGATGGTGGGAGAAGGAGTGCCTAAGAGTTGGGGTGGGGGGGCACGGTTTCCTCACAGTGGGTCTTTTCTGGCCCTGCTCCCTCCTCCACCGCCAGGACCCATGGCTTCAGGTTTAGGGGGTAGTGTTGCTGGAGAACCAGTCTCCCTCCCCGCACTTCCCAGCTCACCCTTTCACCGGGTTCCTCCCCCGAGCTGCAAAGAGGAGGGGGCGGGGGGTAGGGGGAGCCAATCCCGGCAGCGCCAAAGGGGGGAGGCGGCGGTGACAGCCGCGGGGAGGGGGCGGGAGGAGAGAGGCGGCTTGGCTCTGGCTCCGTGCTTAGCTCCGCTCTGCCTCCGGCTCTGCGCTCACCTACTGCCCAAGCCTCCGGCTTCTGCCCCAGGACCCCCGGCGGGACCCCAGTCCATCCCAGACTCAGCCCCGGCTCAGACAGCGTGCAACGCCGCCAGGGGGCGCCGTGTGAGCGCCCTATCTTGGCCACCCGGCGCCCCCTCCCACGGCCCAGGCGGGACGGGACGGGGGCGCCGGGGGCCATGCGGGGCCAAGGCCGAAAGGAGAGTTTGTCCGATTCCCGAGACCTGGACGGATCCTATGACCAGCTCACAGGTGAGTCAGGGGCTCAAGGGTCGCGGGAGGGAGTGTAGATTCCATCCCCGCAGACCCTTAAGCCTATCTGACCCTGGCCAGGCCCTTACTCACACTCTACCCTATTCCCAGGCCCCCTCCAGGCTGTTCCGGGCGGCAGGACACCGGGGTGCAAAGCCTTGGGTCCCGTGGGGGGTGGGGGAGACAGGCGCGCAGGTGGGGAGAGGCAGCAGGTGTGGGCGTGTGTGACACAAAGCTAGGAGAGTGTCTGGAGTGGGAGGTGTTACGTGCGTGAGCGCCTGTCATTCTTTGTGTGTGTCTGTGTGTATATGTGTGTGCGCCTCCCTCAGCCGGTTGCCATGTGCCCTAGGCTTGGTGATAGGGTGAGTGTGATTTTGTTGGCTGTGCAACTGTATGATCTTGTCAGATGTTTGAGGTTGTGTAGGACTCTGTTGTACTAATGAAGTTGTTTTGACCATGTGTCTCTGTTGTATGTGCAACTCTGTGCTTTGAGTGTGTGATTCTGTATGCGGTGGCATGTGACAATCCGAATGTGTCAGGGCTTCACTTTATGGGGGTATGTGTCTTTGTAAGACTTTAATGACTGTGGCCCTCCTGGGGCAAGCATTTGTTAAAGCAGATTGTATTGTTTTGTGATTGTGAGACTATGCAGATTATATTGGCGGTTCATGCTGATTGTGTACTTTCATGTGGCAAGGTCTGCAGGGGGTTCTGTGAGTGTCTGTGACTCGTCTTACCCTTGCTTCCTCTCTGGTTTCCTGGTGTAGAAGGGGGCCTTTACCGCACACCACTGCTTCCCTATGTTTTCCACAAATAGCCCAGGTAGACTCAAGGAGGGACTCTAGTGTCTGCCCAGCCTGGCTCCCTGAACAGCACCAGCACCTGGCCCTTATGGGGAGGCTTTGGTTAGTGTTTGGGTCGTTGCCCCCTGCCCCCAAGAAAGTACTGAGATATCATTCTTTCAACTGAAGCTCCTTTAACCCTCAACAACCCTCTCAGAACTTCATCCAATCTGAAGGAAAACATTCCCTCTTGCTTCCCCTCCAGACCCAGAGATAGAAGCTCTTGGCCTGGAAGGTGCCGTGTGACCTTCCCAAACTACTTTGCTGCCCAGGCGTGCTCTGTCTCCCACAGTATGGAGTACATCTGCGCCCTCACATATTCCTGGGTTTGGTAGGCAGACCTACGTGTTTGTGTGGGTGACTGTGTCACCTTGTATACATTTCCATGTGTGTTTTCTGTCTCATTGTGCAGCCTGCCCAGGAACTCCAACAATGAATGGGCGGAGGGAAACTCTCTCCTGTCTCTGAAACAAGTTGGGCAGGTGGGGGGAGCCCATGATCCTTGTCTGTCCTGAGGGGAGTGAGGTTAAGTCTCTAGGATGGGGAAGAGAACTAGGATCTAACTGAGATGCTTGAGAAAGGGTATCCCCTACTCATTGACCCTGGGAAAGTCCTAGTTCCTATGCCGAGACTCCCAGAAGGGAGAGCCCTTTGGCTCAAGCAGGCCCCAGATGTGACCTAGATGTGGTTCAAACTGTGATGGAATCCAAAGGTCCAGCTCTGCCTTGACCTGTGTTCTCACCAACCCAGGATCCTTGGGAGTTTAAGGCCCCAAGGCACTCATGAGCACCACATTAGTCAGTGTTTGCTTCCTGCTTTAATTGATTCTCCCCTTTAGTGGAACCATCCCCTCCCCACTTGGCTATTTGAAAGAGAGACTGGGTGAAGGTGGGGAAGTACTTGTGTTGCAAGGTGCAGGAATGAGCTTTCTATTACTTTTGCTCTCTGGGTCTCACTTTTCTCATCTCTAAAATGGAGAATACTACGTCTTGCCTGTCTGCCTCCCAAGGGAAATAGGTCAAATGTTGACAAGTGTCAGGAATGGTGTTCATCATCAGCATCCCCACTGTAGATAGCTCCACACACGACTTGGAAAGTAGAAATAGCACTACCAGGAGCTCTCCTTTCGAAGGAGGGCTTATCTTACAGCAGGAGACAATTGTGGTTGGGACTCCCCCTGATAAGGCGATAAGGTGCTGGGTGCCTGGAGACGTCGGAGTTGAAGCCCGAAGGGGAGTCGTTGTCCGAGGTGCTGAAGAGCCTTCTGGACGGATGTACTGCCATGCCTTCCTAGTTCCCAAAGTTCCTTCCCTGTGCAGGCGGGATTCCTGGGATGGACATGGGGGTGGTCTTTGGCTTCCGTCATTCTGGTCCATTAGATTGACAGGGAGGGAGTCCTTAAGTCATCAAGGCATCCTGGGTATACACCCGATCATTTTCCTCCCCCACTCCTCCAGACTCAAAGCTGGGGGAGATTTTTTTTTTTTTATGGTGGGGGGTGGGGAGAATCTGAGCCCCACCCCGCCCAGATCTACCCCCTCTGGTCTTCCAAGCCTGGTAGGGCTACTTGGAAGTATGGCGTGGTGGGAAAAAGCAGCAATCAGTGGCAGTCCTGTCCAAGCCGGAAGCTGGGGGAAGATGAGGAGAGAGTTGGGATCTGGCTGGCCAAGGCCTGAACTCGGGTCCCTCTGCTCGTAAATATCGTTTCCCCAGTCTAGGGCGCCCCCATGTGGTCTTAGAGCAGCCATGCTTACGGAGCTGATTCCAAATGGGGATGTCGCCTCCAAATCAAGGGGCAAAATTTGCATGGAGTTTGGAGGTGACTCTCGCCTAAATCATAAATGTAGGATTTTTAGCCAAAAATACAGGATCCCGGTCGGAGGAGTGGAACTATGTCTCTCCTGTAGGCTGTCCCGGCAGTTTGAAGCCGTCAGTGGGTCCTGAAAGGGTTTACTTTGGGTACAGCCTGATAGGAGTCCTGGAAAGGGTCGGGGCTGGGACTGAGGGGAGGAGAGCTTTTCCTTCATGCATTTGGCTGGCAGTCAGCATATGATGGGAGAATGTGAACCCACTGGAGCAAGACAGAGGGACACAAAACCGAAAGTTATGAGAGAAAGGGATTTGGAACAGCCTCTTTTGCCACCCCACTACAATGTGCAGCTCCTCCTCCTTCCTCTTGCTCTCTCCCATTGGTTTAGGAAGTATGGAAGTGTGGGACGTTGCCATGACGACTATGTCCTCTTACCCCCCATGGCTTCTCCATGCCAAATTGGGAGGAGGAGGTGTGCGACAGGCAGAGAAGGAAGGGCTGCAGCGGGGCAATAAAGAGTAAGGTTCATTATCCCCTCCGCCAGCTCCTTTTTCACAACCCGTAGGTGCCTCCCCTCCCCACTAGAAATCCAGAAAACATTCCCAAAGAAGGCTGTGAGAGAGTCCGTCCTCCCCTCCCCCACCCCGCCCAGTCTAGGAACTTTGAGGACGGGTGCTTCAGATGACGGGGCCAGGGTACGTTTTCTCCCTTGCAGCCCAGAGGAGAGAGCGAGCGGAAGATTCTGGTCCTGCCCGTCCGGCCCTCCCGCGCCGCCCATGCAGGGCCCACTGGAGTGGGGGCGGAGACCCGACCTCCCCGGGCCTTGGGGGCGGAGCTTCGCCAGTGTGCTCTCAGCAGAACCATGAACCGATGCCCCCGCAGGTGCCGGAGCCCATTAGGGCAGGCAGCGAGATCCCTCTACCAGCTGGTGACTGGGTCGCTGTCGCCAGGTATGAGGAAGGGAGGAAGGGAGGAAGGGGCTGGACCCTTCAAAAAGTGAGTGAGGTGGGATAAGAACCTTACAGAGGTGGGGAGGGGAAGGGCCCCTCACAGAGATGGAGGGAGCAGGATCCCTCAAAGGAAAGGGTTTAAAGGGCAAGCTCCCTGACAGAGTGGAACTGGGGATAGGGTTTCTTATAGTGAAGGTGGAGGATAGGGGTCTTCAAAGAGGAGAGGATAGGGGGCATCATGGTCCCTCAAATGGTGGAGGAGGAGGCAGGGCTTCTCACTGAGGATAGAGGAGGGGGCCTTAAGCAGGTGGATGTAAGGGGCAAGGCCCCTTGCAAAAATAAGAGGAGGAAGCTTGCAGCAGAACAGGGAAAAGGCACAACCCTTTACTAAATTGCTTAGTTTAATGGGATCTTAAGATGCTTGGGGTCAGTGTCCAGAAGGGAAAAGTCCTGAGGTGGGACAGGACCAACATAAACTCAGCTAGTGAGTTCATGAATGATGGGATGAATAGACTTGCGTGGCATAAGGATTCTATGTCACCATTTTGTCTATCTCTGGGAGTCTGTACGAACAGGGTTATACATCACTCAGGTTGTAATCACTGGGTCTGTGCATCCTCGGGGTTGCCTATCTTTGGGATTCTGTGACACTGAAACTGCATGTACCTGGGGTTCTATGCTTTAGAGTTGGGTTGAGGGTTCCTGAGTCACACTGAGTTGTGTAGTCTTCACAAGATTGTACCTTGGTGTGGGATGTGTCGAATTTATGACATGTGGATTGTGGATATCATATCATGGTACTTCTGAAATTTACGCACACCTCCGCCTGGGTTGACTCAGGGCAGCCTGGGCAAGGCCCACAGAACCTAGCATCACCTCTCCACCCGGCCTGGAGAGACCAAAACCACCTAGCCCCGTGGCATTCTGGGATCTGTAGTTCTCTGGCTCTCTCCGTGGTAACCTCTTGAGCCTCTGGAGGCCTCTCCTTGCCATGTGTCCCCAGAAGGAGGGGAGTTGGGGCTGAGCTAGAGCCATGCTTGGCAGTCTCTTGGGGAGCATGCGTCCCTCAAGCCCCCTGCTTGGACCTGTCTCCAGTGACAGATGGCTGGAGCCCGGCAGGGCTAGCTCTCAATCATAACAGGAATGACTTCCAGGCCCCAAAATAGCCCCAAAGCCTAGGGAGTTCATTAATCACCTAATGCAGCTGGGGGCTGCCGTGTCTTCTGGCCTGGCTGGGGATGGAATGGGGCTGGGGAGCTGAGAGAAGAGCTCTGGGGTCTTCACTGGCTGGGGTCTTCACTGAGGGGTCAAGGACTGATGAAAGTGGTACAGCTACATAGGGTGGGTCCCCTCATAAGGCAGTATTATTCCAGGTTTGAACTGTGAGAGATAAACAACTAAATGTTAGGAGTATCTCTGCAGTGAGATTTGAGGGGCCGAAGGAGGGCCCACCTAATGCTTCAAGATAGTGTTCCCTTGAGCCCTCACTCTGCCTGAAGTGCTTCCATTAAGACTTCATTCCCTTGGGTGAAGAGCTAAGTGACACAGGGATGCTTAAGGACAGATCTGGGCAAGTTTCTCTTTGGGCCCTAGGACTTGAAAGGTCTCTCAGTGGGGAGGAAGGAGAGTCTGGAAAACAACTCACTCTTTCACTTACAGACCTTCCCACCAGGGCCCTGGTTGATTAAGAACCCCGAGTCCCTGTGAGGCTGGGTCAAGATCTCTGAATGTTGAGGGTGAGGGTGAGAGACAGAAGAGGAGGGTCCAGGGACAGGGCAACAGCCTACAAGGCTGTCAATCTATCTGTGAATCAGCAGCAGAGAACCAGAAGATGTGACTGTGCTGCCTCTTTCATTCCAGATAGTCTGGCTTGGCGTTCAAGGCTCTATGGAATCTGAGCCATTTTGGTCTTATCACTTACGGCTCTCCCAACACAAACTAAGCTACAGTCATCCAAGGTTCCTTGACCCCACACACATTGGAAGGACAGGCTGGCAGATCTTTGGTCCTGGTTTAAGTCTTGATCCATCCTTCTCCATCTGTGCTATCTTGGGAAAATCACTTCCCTGAGCCTCAATTCTTTCGTCTGCAAAATTGGTATACTACTACTCACTCTGACCATGTCAGCTGTAAACACAGGAGTAATAGACCCTACCTCTCAGGTTTATTATGAGGACTAAGTGAGATGATATATGTAAAGTGTCCAGGACACAAAATGTGCTCAATAAATGTGGACCCCTTTGTTAAGGGACACTGTTGACATTTAGCCATCTTTTAAGAACCAGCTCAAGAAATACCCTCTCCAAGTTTTCCCTGGCCTCCCAGTTAGAGAGCTTTTACAGTTAAATGAGCTTTTATAGCTCATTTCATGGCCTGCACAGAACAGTTCCTACCACATAGTAGGCACATAACAAATATTTTTTGAATGAATAGAAGCCTTATAGTTCTCTCAGTGGGCTGTCTCTCCCTACCCAATGGAAGCCAGAACCCTGTTTAGTTCACCTTTGTTCCACAGAGCCTGGCATTCAGTTTATATAAGTCCAATTTTTAAACATCTTTGCCCTTTAGGAGCTTGGAATCTAGTTGAGGAAACAGGACTGATCCAGAAAGATCTGGGTTCAAATATGCATCCTCTCATCTTAGCTAGGTGACCTCAAGCAAGTCTCTTTATCTCTATGGCCCTCGTTTACCTCATCAGTGAAATGGGCACAATACTATTCAGTCTACCTACCTCATAAGGTTGTCATGAGAAGCCATCAGGATAACAATGTTTGTGGAAATGCTTTGTTAATTAAGAGTTATAGAAATGTAAGGGGGAAGATGTTATGTTATTAATAATGTGCAAACACTTCACAGTTACTCTGTGCCAGGAGTTATTCTAACAGCTTTCCATGTATTAATTCATTTACTCCTCCCAGCAACCATATGAGGTGGCAAACAGGCACACAGAGGTTAAGAACTTGCCCAGTTAATGGCAACTGACAAAACCAGGATTTGAATCCAGGGAATCTGGCCCTCTGGCCCACACTATTCCCTACCATGCTATGCTGCCTCCTTTTACTATTCCCACTTAATAACATTACAGAATTCAGTGCTAAGTTTTGAAGGCCCAACATTGAGTTCACTAGAAATTCAGGTAGTTGGGAGCCTGCTGAGGACTGGAGGTCCTGTCAGGTAAGAACTAGAGAACAGAAGGAGAACAGAAAGGAAGGCATTCATAGCAGGAGCAAAGGCACAGAGATAGCACCGAGTTTGACGTGTTTGGGGGACAGTGAGGAGGCCAAAGTGGCTGGAAAGAAAGGAATCTGCTGATGAGGGTAGGGGGAATTAAATGCCAGGTATGGAATTTGGACAGTGATAGGGAGATATTTGCTGGTTGCATCTGTAAATCTGTAACCTCTAAGGAGTGAGAAGCCAAAAACAGTCCCTAGATTGACTTCTTCCTGGAGGAGGGTGGAGGGGCAAGCAGAGGACCAAGCCAGCCTGTGGCATACCCTTCTTCCCATGCTTTCCACACTTTCCACAGATGTTGTGGGGTGGGGGATGATGAAGGGGTAAAATAAGGTATGAGATGGACGCCTGACCCCCAGTGGTGGCCATGTAGAACTGCAGATCAGTGAACTTCAAATGAAGTCGTAGGGACAGTCCCATCCGGACTTTCACCCCACCGCTGGAGGTGAGACACACTCACCCCAGAGCTGGACAAGGGAGAGGGCTCCCTCTGGGGTCAGTCCCCCTAAACTGGGCCTCCTGAGTGGGCAAGCTGGCTAAGAAGGGAGCCAGTGTAGTGTGACGATTTAGAGCACAGGCTCAGCGTCAAACTGGGTTAAAACTGAGGCTCTGACTCTTACTGATCTTGGTGATTTTCTTAACTTCCTTTTGCCTTAGTCTTACCAGCTGTAATGTGGAGGTAACGATACTTCCTTCATAGGTTTATTATGAAAATTAAATGTGATCATGTCTGGGGGCACCTGTAGGGCTCAGTTGGAAGAACATGTGACCCTTGGTCTCGGGGTTGTAGGTTCGAGCCCCACGTTGGGTGTAGGGATTAGTTAAAAAATAAAATCTTAGAGGCACCTGGGTGGCTCAGTCATTAAGCATCTGCCTTTGGCTCAGGTCATGATCCCAGGGTCCTGGGGTCGAGCCCCACGTCGGGCTCCCTGCTCGGCGGAGAGCCTGCTTCTCCCTCTCCCTCTGCCTGCTGCTCTGCCTACTTGTGCTCTCTCTCTGTCAAATAAATAAATAAAATCTTAAATAAATAAATAAATAAAATTTTAAAAAATAAAATCTTTAAAAAAATGTGATAGAAGGGCACGTGATGTAATGCGCATTGGGTGTTATATGCAACTGATGAATCACTAAATTCTACCCCTGAAACTAATAATACACTATATGTTAACTAAATTGAATTTAAATTAAAAATTAAAAAAACCCTGATCATGTCCGTAAGCACACAGCGTGTGTTACCTAACACACAGTGTGTGCTCAGTCAGTGTTTGCCAGCACCGGCCGTAGTTCAGAGGCTCACTGGCTCTGCGAGCCGTCCCCCACCCACCCCTACAAACACGCACACCCACACAGGCACATACACACCACCACCACCACCACCACCACTGACAGAGAGCAGGGAAGATGGGGGAGGGGCTCCGGGAATGCTCCAGGGGGTGAGGGTAGGTGGTTTCCTTGGAGGGTTCAGATTTCCCTCCTCCTCTGGGCTTCTCCATCAGCTCCGTAACAGTTTTCAAGGAGCAGGCAAGGCTTTGGCAGATCCTGGCTGAGAGGAAGGGAGGAGCTCACTCTCTTCTCTCCCAAGGAATTTGAATCTGTGGGGCCCAGAGGTAGCTGCAATAAGTCCTCTCCCCAGGGGGTCATGATAAGGCTAAGCAGCCTTGTTCCTGCCCAGGCTATTGGACCTAATCCTCCTTCCCTTGGGCCTCAGTTTCCCCATCTGTGGCCTGTGGAAAGAGAGTGCTTCCCACCTCACAGTCTCCATGGCAACC